GCGCTGAAGTAACCCATGCCATACTCCCAGGAAAAGCTCGAACGACCTTCAACAAAAGGGTACCTGTACCCGAAACTGACACAACCGACACAGGTGGGTAGGTTGAGAATACCTAGTGGCGCGAGACAACTCTCTCTAAGGAACTCGGAAAAATAGCCCTGTAACTTCGGTCGTCCCACGTATTTGGAAGAGAAAAAGTGAATTTTCCGGTATTCTTGCTTTGAGAACCAAAAATATTGCCAAATAAATATATGGAGACAAGGCTTTTATTTGCTCCTCTGTATTCCATTTAGTTTTCCTTTTTCTGCTTCCCTTTTCTAGAATAATATAGCTAAATGCTTATTGAACATATACTGTTTTGCATCATGCAGGGTGTAATTATGACACACAGCAATGTTTTAGCTACAGTTTCTGCTGTCATGACCATTGTGCCTGGCCTTGGTAGCAAGGATGTTTATTTAGCATACCTACCACTGGCACATATTCTCGAACTTGCAGCCGAGGTATAATAAACCTTTATAATATGATTTATGTTCTTTCCTAAAACGTTATGATCTATTGAAGTAAAAACTGATTTTTGGGTACATCGTATATTTCATTTCACAGAATATTATCGCAGCTGTAGGAGGCTCGATAGGTTATGGATCCCCTTTAACTCTTACAGATACCTCGAGCAAAATTAAGAGGGGCACAAAAGGGGATGCATCTATTTTAAGGCCAACACTAATGGCAGCTGTTCCAGCTATTCTTGATCGTGTCCGAGATGGTGTGTGGAAGAAGGTTGGTTGAAATTCTGACTTGCATATGGCCTATATATTTAATATAGTGCTATTTCATTTCCTTTAGTTTAAGAAAGCGAATTTTCAGGAGACATCATGGTAAGCTGCTGAAAATTTTCAGGTGGATTCAGCAGGTGGCTTATCAAAGAAATTGTTTGATTTAGCCTATGGTCGCCGGTTGTCTGCAATAAATGGCAGTTGGTTTGGGGCATGGGGGTTAGAAAAGCTTTTATGGAGCTTTCTAGTGTTTAGAAAGGTCCGAGCCATTTTGGGGGGTCGTATCCGTTTCATTCTGTCTGGAGGTGCCCCTTTGTCTTCTGATACTCAAAGATTTATCAACATTTGTCTTGGGTTAGTACTAACAAATTCTAATTGATTATTTCTTGCATGTTAAATATTCCACTACTACGCTTGCTTTCTAATTATTTTATAAGTTGATAATGCTGATGGGGGATAATATTTAATTGTTAATGTAAACTCAATGAGCCAACCATGCCATCAAAATGATATTGTTAGATGTCCTATGGGAGTTGCTAATAACTAATAAATAGCATGAACAAATAACATTATTGTTCCTGAAGGTTGTTTTCTTGGTCTTGAACTAATTGGAGCTTGGGAAGTGTACAAGTGATTTCTCTTGCATGAGAGACCAATAAAAAGGTGCAGTTCCTTTGTAAGGTTAGTCAATCCTATGGATATCAAGTAGGGATTCTCAAAACTAGAGTGGTTTGACTCCGCAACACCAAGCCTTGGTTGCTTGTTGTTCTTACTCTTGTTAATAACAAGTATTTGGGTTCCTATGATCACTACAACCATATTCAACATGAAACCATATTGTAATCGGAGAGAACTCTCTATTATATGATTAATCAGTAAAATTTCAAATTTACAAGAAGAGAGACACTATATATAGACATAATTACACGGGAAACCCTAACCCTAAAGCCCATCGGGCTTGGACACATTACCATAA